GCGGTGCTCATCCCCGTTTCCAAGCCACAGAGCCAGCGTTTTTGTCCAAAGACATTTTCCGTGGTCACATGGCCAACACAACTAGACATGGAACGCTGCCACCTTCCCACCGAGGTGGTATCTATTTATCTATTTGCATATTACATGCTTTCAAACTGCTAGGTTGGTGGGAGCTGGGAGAAGTGACGCGACAAGCTCACTCCGTTGCGTGGATTCAATCTTACGACTACAGGTCTTCTGACTTTGCAGCGCAGAGAGATCAGCGGTTTAACCCGCAGGGCCACCACATCCCTTTTTTGGGGCTGAAACAAAAGTCTCCTGTTAAGAGTGATAGATATGATCTTGGAGCTGTTTTAGTGCTGGGTGGGCAGAAAGACTGTGCTTCCTTTTGCTCGCTTGCAGACAATCCTTCAAGAAGAACTTCAGTATAAAACAACTGTGATGATTGCCCCACGTCACTCCTGTCACTCATATTCAGGATCTCATTTGCATGAGCCTATAAAGAGCTCTAGAATATTCCGAACGTTCCACGCAAGCGCGGACAAGACCCAAATGTGTGATTCACAGAGTTCACTTGGGAGAAGTATAGAATTTGCATAGAGAGAGAGAGAAATAGTCAGGGAGATAGTGAGAACAGATACTAATAGAGATAAGCTGGTCAAGATAAATAGATAGAGCAGGTGGTGATTGGTTATGTAGCAAGATATATGACATTTTAATGATTTGATTGTATGCATTGAATAAAGAACATCTGTGTTTCTGATTAAATTTAATACACTTCAATAAATAAGTTCTGTTGGCAGTAACCAGACAAGTGTCTGCCTAAAGTTCTTTATATGTCGTGGATAAAGGAAATCCACTGGTGGCAGTGAGGAAAAGAGGGAACGTCACAATGGGTATCTGCTGGTGGGATGGCATAGCGTGAGCCCTTTGTTTGGTGAAACAAGCAGGGGCCACGTGGTAAAAGTCACAACAACAGCACTCCTATTTCTTGCTCCATTTCCTGTAGAGTCTGCTAGTCAATGTTACAGAGATCAACTTCACTCACTCCCCAGTGACTGGCAAATTCCAAGGCTTGCCCAAATCTGCTAGACATGGACTGAGACAGGGAGAGAAAAGGAGCCTATTCAAACAACAATCATTGACTGAGTCCCAATTAGACATGGTGTTCCAACAAACACAGCTAAGGGCGAATTTCTTTCTCCAGAAGCTACTTGGATATGGTGCAAGGGCTGTTTTTCAAATTTCCAATTACAGAGCTTTAAACTGTATCAGACAAGCTTTATTGAAAATCAGACTGTGAGGCTCAAAATCCATTGACAGATTTTCACATCCTGCAGATGCATATATAATTTGCATATTCTACGGTTTAATTGCTGCTTGGGCCTTTCCCAAGATTTCTTCTCTAATTTTGGGATAGTCTGGGCATGCTTTCAGGACCTTGAAGGAAGAAGAAAATTAATGACTAGCTTTAAAAAAACAAACAACTCATGTAATATAGAACAACCACAATCTATAATGGCAGCTAACAAACCATGGTTTAGCTGAGATTCTGCAACACAGCAGTTCTGGCAGACAAGATTATTTGATGCTCCTAGTTTTCTCTGGCAGTGTGGAACTGCAGGAGAGTTGCTTCTGCTGGGTGGTAGCCATGGCTAGTCTACTTCAGCAAAAACAAGGAGTCCTGTGAGACCTTAAAGGTTAGCGGATTTTATTTGTCTTAAACTCTTTTGCATGCATCTGATGAAATGGGCTGCTGTCCATGAAAGTGGATGCTGGAAAAAAAGCATGTCTTTAATGTGCCACAAAAGTCTCTCTCTTTTTTTGCTGCTGTAGAATGATGGACATAATCTGGGACACACTAGCCATTTGTTTTGGGCCATGCTGACCTGAGCAGGGGACCTACCTGTCCAGTTGGTTATAATACACAGTCCCGTGTATATTTTATAACAGCTGCATAGTAAACCCATAGGAACGCGTCAGCAGAGATGGGCATGAATCAGAAAAGTGGTGATTTGTTTTGATTGACAAATCACACATTACAAATTTATGATTTTTTTTCCTCGCGAATCGATGAATCAATTTGCCAATGCATTTTTTTTAAATTTTAAAACCCTATAAAATATACCCAAATGCACCCAGAGACACCAAAAGTTTCAGGGAAGCTTGCTCTGACTGTCCTCTACAATCCCTCCACTTTTGGTGGAGTTTGGATTTCAGACATTCACATTACACATTCACAAAAATGGGGTCTCCCCTCTGAAAATTGCTCTCTAGAAGTGGGCTTGGGGAAGCTCAAAGAGGAATTGTAGAGGAGATCCATGGAGGCTTCTCTGGGACTTTGGTGTATCTTGGTGCCTAGGAGGATATTTCTTGGGGAGGCTGTTCATCAGTGTATACTGTATTTTCTTTTCATGTATAAGACTATAATTTTGTCTAAAATCTTTAGACTAAAAATTGAAGGTCGTCTTATTCATGGAAGTAAGCTGAGGAGAGAACAAAAACAAGTGGAGGGGAAAGCAGGGATCAAAGCGATCCTGCAGTGCTTTGATCTCTTTCCCTCTACACTTGCTAAGCCCCACTTAGATTTCTTAATTTTGGATTAGAAGAGTTGGGGGTGTCTTATACACGGAAAAATACAGTAATTCAGACACCTGAATCCCAATTGTCACCAAACTTGAAGGGATTTTAGTGGCGATTCAGAAGAAGCTTCCCAGCAATTTTGGTGCCTCTAGATGCCTTGGAGGCTGTTCTATAGCCAAACATCTGAATCCCAATTGTCACCAAACTTGGAGGGATTTTAGAGGCGATTCAGAGGAAGCTTCCCAGCAATTTTGGTGTATCAAGATGCCTTGGAGGCTGTTCTATAGCCAAATTCACCAACAAATTAAAAATGGCAAATAATTCATTGATTCATGATTTGTTATAGGCATTGATTCATAGAAATACAAATTTGCAAATTAGTGATTACTGAATGAAATTGGTGATTCAGTTTGCAATTTGTGCCAATCTCTACTCCTCAGCAAGGAAAGGGTATCCTGATATTTAAAGCCTGAAACTGATTCAGATCATTGAATTACATGATGATGAACTTACATCATGGCATACATCTATTGCTTCCACGTATCTTTTATCTTTCATATAGTTGAAAGCAAGCTTAAATCCTAGGAGAAGAGAAGAAAGCTTAGTGTTTTCTGTACAATGCCAGGCATGAATTTGAAAGAAAATTGCAATAGCCATTTATGAGCATTGATGGGGGGATATTGTGAAATAAATCCATATTGCTTTTACCAGGCAATGTTGACTTCCTTAAAAGGTGGGGAAAATCACAATGTATATTCAACAGAAATATGTGCATTGCTTAGGCAGTAACTAATACACACACTTAACTGGGGCTAAGTCCCATTGAACTCCAAAGATTTTACTTCTGAGAAGCTATTTGGCAACTTGAACTAAGTCAAAAGGCTGTTTTGTTGAACTGGAGAGTTTAAGGCAGTGATAGCGAACCTATGGCACGCGTGCCACAGGTAGCACGCAAAGCCCTTTCTTCTGGCACGCAAGGAGTTAGTGGCCCTCTCACCCGCCCTTGTGGATAGAAACCTTTTGAAGTGGCTGCAGCTGGGATTCCTCCTTTCTCTTCCTGTTCTGCGTCCGTCGCCATGATTCCTCCCCCTTTCTCTTCCTGTTCTGTGTCCATCACCATAATTCCTCCCCCTTTCTCTTCCTGTTCTGCATCCATCACCATGATTCCCCATTCAACTGCCACTTCTGGTTCCGGTCTTCCGGGTGGCACAACAGCCACTGGTTTCTCTCCCCCCCCCCACTCATTTTGGGCACGCGAGCCTAAAAAGGTTTGCTGTCACTGGTTTAAGGTATATAATTCAATGGGTGTTGCTGGTAACTAAAATGATAAATGATGTGATTCTCTGAATATTTTTCATCCCAACTTTTACTTCTCTGTGTACCTCATTTTCTGCAATTGGTTGAGAGAGAACTTTCGCTACTAGCAGGAATGAAGTTCAGTTACTGTCATTTCAGCAATTTTTGGCATGAACCCAAGTCGGTCTCTTGTGCCAAAGGAAACATTTTTAACTAAAGGTCACAGTGCAGCACTGGCGGAAGGAGGACCAACCTGGAATATCTTCACTCACCAATGGCAGGATTTGCTTGGTTACTATATTTCCAAGCTAATTCATAGTTGAATGCAGCATCTTTATAAGAATTTTCCTTTTCAGAGATAAATCCCAAGCATTCATAAGCTTTAGCACACGACTTAGGAGAAAAAAAAAGGATGATAGATAATAAATACTCTATTTTTCTTAAAAAAGATTAACCAACATTTAAATAGTTTAGTTCCTCAACGCCTTGGTTCCTAACGGCAGTCCTCAGGGAATTTCCATTGAATACAACTTTGGGGGGTCCAAGAAGATCTGATGGGGCCGCCCTGTCCTGTAAGTTTCCCCCCCCAGTAGCTGTTTCCTGAAGGTAAACTTGGAAACAGTGCTCACAAGTTTGCAGGGAATGGGAAAGGAGAGAGAGGCCACTGTTGCCATCCCTTCATTCTTGGTGGTTTGGAACTTTCAGAGAAGTTTGGGGAAGTGCCCGAGCATCCCCTCAGAACTCTCTGAAAACAAGACAGACATTGGGGGAGGGGGGAATCCCAAGAATTCAATCTGCATTTTGAGCGTAAATAATCGCCATCTCTAAATCAACTTATTTTGGGGAAGTTCGACCAGGAAGTTCTTCTGCTTCTGCAATGGAATGGCGCCCCCCCTCACCTTGTTGTACCGCAAGCAACGCTTCACTTGATCAATCGCAAGGTCGTACTTCCCGATGCCACAGTAGATATCCGACAACAGAAGCCAAGCCTTTTCGAGCTCATCGGCATCTCTCAAGGACCAGTTGACTTTGGTCAAACGTTTCAGCTGGGTTCTGGCTTTGGCAGTATGCTTAAGAATCATGTACGCCTGAGCCATTGCCAAAATAGCCGGGACACTGTCTCTCTATTAACAAAATAAGAGTGTAGGTAAAACTTTTTTTTTAAAAAATCCAAATTTTAACTGTCATTTTCCGTATCTGAGATAAAGCAAAAACATTGCAAAGTGTGCTGCTTACAGTATATCCCACCCCGTACTGCTTAAAGCACTCTCTGATTCTGGACAATTTGCAGTTTCATTATGCAGGTTACATATTGCCCCTCCTCCAGCAAGCTGGGTACTAATTTTACTGACCCCCAGAAGGATGGAAGGCTGAGTCAATTCGAGCTGTCTACGTGAGCCCATTGGGATCAAACTCAGGTTGTTAGCAGAGTCTTGACTTCAGGACTGCAGTTTAAGCACTGTGCCACAAGACTCCATACTAATTTCTGAGATACTCATCTCATCTCTGGTTCTGCATTTTGGGCAACTCTTCCATTTAGGGAAGGTTCAGATTAAATGTAGCTGTCACAGCTTATCCAGTGGGGTTGCTTTCTTTGTTCAGATTGGCTGCGGATGACTTCGTGGTTGAAAGAGGACCAGCAGGCCAGGGGAGTGAATGAGTCTGTCTAAACCAGGGGTGGGGAGTATTTGGTTGAACCTCAGTTCCTAGAAGTTCAAGGCCTCATGGGCAATGGTTAGGAGTTATGGAAGCTGTAGCCTTAGCATTTAGAGAACAAAATATATTCCACCCTAAACTTAATCCATTCCTTGCCAGCTGCTTGCCCACTTAACCTGTCTTCCTTCCAGTGGCTTTCTCATCCATGGGAAATAAAAGCAATTGGAAGAAGGCATTCAGGCTGTGCAAACAGGTGGCAAAGAATGACATGAGCCCCTCCTATCCTTTCTCGTTCTCCACCCAAATTACACACAGCAGCTTTGCATGAAGAGCCAATAACAGCAGTAGGACATCATTTAATACGCCGCTTATTAAGTTCCAAAGGAGATGGCTTCTGTATAAACTGAACCAGCATCCATCCTTTCCATGAACATCATCAGAGCACTAAGAGGAACATCAGCCTTTTTAGGGATATTATCTTAAAACGGTATTGTGCCACTACTAATCCGGGGACAGCATGCTGCCCTAGAGGGTTCCCTGTGGGTTTCCTGGCCATCTTTCCCACCATACCTCATTTTGGCCCACTTCTCTAAATACTTTCAAAGCCTTCTCCACATTGTGGCTCTCTTTGGTGGCCATTAAACAATAGCTCTGCAACATCTCCACCTGGTTCTGGCCTTCCTGGGAGTGCGGGTAAAACTCCTTGAGAAGCTTCTCGGCTGTACGTATCCCATGCTGTTCAGATTCTCTCTTTTCCTTCTGAATACTGTTAAACAAAAATAAACAAGCAAACAAACAAACACCGTGCGGTGTTTCCTAGACTATCAAGTGTCAGATAATATTAAGACTATACCATTGGCTGGCTCTTAATTAGATAAGCATAGGCTGGGTATGTGACTTGAGTCACTCCTAATTTATAAACGAAGCATAATCCGGCTGTGAGCTCAGGGGAAAACTTCATGCAGTCTGATGTTCGTAATGGCATCTACTTCGAACTCTACAAGAATACGTACCATTTCACTCGAAGTCCTCCACTGATAAAATTCCACCTTCACTTTTCTTTCCCAGTGGTTCCTCATGGATCCTTTGCAAACGAAATGCATGCAAAAATCTGGCATCCACAACTGACTGTTGTAATTATATATATTATTCATGGGCAGCAGCAGCTGAACATTCAGAGGCCAGAGCGGGTACTCTTGTGCTCATTAGACTAAAACCACAATAAAGCTCACAAGCTGGAGATCGGAGCCTACACAGGATTGTGAATATACACTGTGCCATCTTTGTATCAATATGAACCCGAAAGAGGGGAAACGTCCTACTAATCACATGTTTTTAAGCTATAGAAGATTCCAATAAGTCCTGAATTCACAGAGGCCACGAAGAACTGAATGTCGATGCTAAAGCACATTTACATACAGCAGTGGATAACAGAAGTGCAACTGAACACTGGTTGACACTCTCTGGCTATAAACAATATGGCACAGAAGAGGAGTCTTGGATCCACAATAAAGATTTTTTTTACTGCTCTCTGCCCAGACTTTTAGCTTGCAATGTTATAGACCAGCAATGGCGAACCTTAATAAGTAGCTTATTAAGTTCCAAAGGGGAAAGTGGGCACGCAAACCATAAGTTGCCATTGAGAAGTACTTACCCATCTTCCGATCCCGGATTTTGCCACTCCCCTCTGCTGGTGCAGTGGTCCAGTGGAGGGGTGCAATGGCGACCATTACTGGTCTAGCCCAATGGGGGACTGGAGGACCAGCAAGTATTTACAGTGTTGCCGCGCTTAGCGAGGTTAATCCGTTCCGGATTAACCCTCACTCAGCGAATCCATCGTTAAGTGAAACAAAAAAGTCCATAGGAACATATTAAAACTGATTTAATACGTTCCTATGGACTTAAAACTTACCGTTCTGCGAGTTTTCTCCATTGCGGCGGCCATTTTGGATGCCTCATTAGCGAGGCAAAACAGCGGTCGCCATTTTGTTTTGGCGGCGGCCATTTTGGAACCGCCGATCAGCTGTTCGCTATGCTTTGATCGCGTCCGCGCGATCATCGCATAGCGAAAAAAGTCCATAGGGGCCATCGCTGAGCGAACGCTCCAGCGATGGCCCGGGACCCATCGGTGTGCGGATTCATCGCATAGCGAAGCGTTCGCTATGCGAGGCACCACTGTATTTGTTAATATTGCCCATACCACCCCCAAAGCATTTAACCCTTGCAGCACAGGAGCAGTTGTTTCTTCTAAACTAAAACCTCAGTATTCAGGTTTTAATGGAAGTGTTGGCACTTTGAAATAAAAAAGTTGATTTTGTGTTGCACTTTGGGCACTCGGGCTCAAAAAGGTTCACCATCACTGTTAGAGACCAATATGGAGAGGTGGGGTGTTTTCTGTTGATGGGAGATGCAGCTGGGGGTGGGAAAGCGATAACCCTAAATTCCAAGCATAGCCAGAGAGACAAAGGGCATAAAGCTTCCAAGTTTTTAAGTCTTCAAGACGCTGAACTATAAGAACTTGATGTTCTAATGTCATGGATTTTTCTTTACCTGGTGTCCCTGGTACTCTGGTTTTCCACTGTCTCTCCCCCTATTATCTCATTATCAGGATTCAGGCATATTTGAATCATACAGTTGAGGGCTTTCTGGCCCCAGTCGTGGTCTTTCCGAGCTTTGTTGAAGAACTTCAAGGCCTGATTGGGCTGCACCATGTACCTGTTGGTGGGAGAAAAGACTTTTAAGATTTACCCAGGGAAAGAGAACTTGATGAAATCACCTGGGCAATATAGGCACATATATTAAAACTGGCCCCATAATAAAACTGCATGGTTCAAGACCGACAAAAAGAACCTAATACACAAAACCCCACCGGGAACCATGACACTGCAACAACAGGTAGAAACAAAAGGCATAACAGAAAAAAACTACCACTGGTAACCAAGCCCTCATCCCTTATAGATGCTCCATTCTTAACCACGAACCAAGGACAGTATATGCCCAAAGTACAATGCCTCAGTTTTGTCATTTTTATTTTATTTATTTTATTTGTTTTATTTATAGGCCATATTTCTCCCAATAAGGGACTCAAGATGGCTTCTAAAGGCTTTATTTGATCTAGCTGATTTGACCCACTTGCTTGTGTACCTGGTGATCCCTGGTATCTGCAGAGCTCTCCTCCAGCCCCATATTTAAAATGGTGACTTGCACCTTGTTCAAATGAATAACATAGATTATAATAAATAAGCTTTCTGGGCCTCTGAATTTATTTTTCTTAATGATCTCTGGATCCCTTCCCACCCTGCACCACAGACGAATACAGTGGGCTTTTGGTTGTTGTGAGTTTTTTGGCCATGTTCTGGAGGTTTTTCTTCCTAACATTTCATCCGTCTCTGTGGCCGGCATCTTTTGAGTTCTAGCTCCTTTCCTCTGAAGATGCCGGCTATAGAGACTGGAGAAATGTGAGGAAGAAAAACCTCCAGAACACGGGCAAACAGCCCGAAAAATCCACAACAACCATTGGATCCCAGCCGGGAAAGCCTTCGGGAACACAGAGGAAACTGAACAGATATCCATTATGATATTTGCAAGTTTTCAGCCAATGGATAATGGTTTTGAAGAGTGGGAAGATATCCATTGGAAAAATGACACGGGACACTGAATCCTGTCCCTCCTGCTGTTCCATGATCCAAATAAAAACCTATTCTCCTACTTCTTTCAGCAGCTGCTTTAAAAAAAAAGGGTACAGGTCATTTTAACAACCTTTTAAGGCTTAACATCGAATCTAAGTGAGCTATAATTTCAACAAATACTACTCCCTACAACTTACCAGCAGTAAAGTCCCATGCAGTAGTTATAGCCAGCCTCCAGAGGCACTCGGCTTGACTTTTTCTTGGCCAGCTCAAAAAAAGGAGTTGCTTTTTCAAGTTGACCACTCCTTCTGAGCAAATCAATCAAGCTCTCCATGACCAGGAAGTTATCTAAAACCACAGAAACAATACTTTGATATTTTCAACCAGTGCACTTTCTACTGTTTCCAAATCTTTTCCCTGTTGATATATAAGACTTCAAACGAAGCATGGCTCCTTAGATAGGATGGCAAAAACAAAACAAAACAAAACAAAACAAAACACACAAAACAAAACAAAACACTGCAAAATCTTCATTTTCTATCCATCCGTCTCACCCGCACAATCAGCCACATGCTCTTACCTCCAATGTTTCCAGGTTTGCTGTACAACATTCATGATCAAATGTGCTTGATTGTGACCTGCTTTTAGGACCAAATGATCAGCTTGTAACTGCTTTTATTATTTTTTTTAAAAGAATACCTGGTCTCTTCTCCAAAACAGTTCGATATAGGCTGATTGCTTGCTCGTATTTTTCTTTTCCAAACATAAGATCGGCCATAATCTAGCAAAAGAACAGATATTTCATGCCTGGACCAACTGGTTTCAATGCTTAAGGAAAAACTGAAAGGGTAACATCTTTATTGCTGCCATAAACCTTTGTACTAGCCAGATATACGAATACAGTGGACCCTCTACTTACGGAATTGTTGCTTAAAGAAGAACTGAAAGGGTAACACCTTTATCGCTGCCATAAACCTTTGTGCTAGCCAGATATACGAGTATGTTGAATGAGATCTACTATGACTGAGCCAGTATTATGTGTTTGTTCTCAAGGTAGCTAATGTCTATAACAACACTGAAAGCATGAGAAACCATCTGTAACTATCTGCAGGTTATCGTACTGGACGATTCTGGTTACAGAGGTCTGGGTACATGGCAATGTTGAGAGAGGATTTACAGGCACTCCAAAATCTCTGGTCCCCGTTTAGCTTTATGAGCAATCAGCCAGAGAAGTCTGTAACTCGAAAAGTCTGTAAGTCGAGCCGTCTGTAAGTCGAGGGTCCACTGTATGTTGAATGAGATCTACTGTGACTGAGCCAGTATTATATATTTGCTCTCAAGGTAGCTAATGTCTATATCAACACTGAAAGCATGAGAAACCATCTGTAACTATCTGCAGGTTATTGTACTGGACGATCCTGGTTACAGGGGTCTGGGTACATGGCAATGTTTGGAGAGGATTTACAGGCACTCCAAAATCCTTGGTCCCCGTTTAGCTTTATGAGCAATCAGCTTAATGCCTGCATTGGGATCTGGAGTGATGGGGGCTCCTTCAGCCATCAAACCACGGGAAAAGACTATCCAGATACAATATCATGGCCTTGTTCACGGGGAAGGAATTTCACGGAGGCGCGTGAAGAAATTTTGCCAGTCTTGCTTATGATTGAGAAAAGCTGCCTCAACATGGCAAGACAGCATGCTGAGGATCCTCAAGCCTCTATGAACAATCTTATCTTCCGCATGACAGCAAGACATCAGGTGCTCTTCCTTACAACAAAGTGCATACAGCTGGCACAATGTTTCTCAGACTTTTTCCCTTTGTGAAGGTATGTGCGTAAATGCAGCAGACACAAAACAACAGGCTGACTGTTCAGAAAGATGGAAACAATCCATCCAGGGCTTCTATTTATTACCAGCACATACCAACGTCATCACAGTTTTGTGAATTTAGAGAAATGTGCAAAAATCCATTTTGGAAATGTGCAAAATCTGGTGATGGGGAGGATTATGGTATCTTGTGGTAAGAAAGATTTTTTAAAAATCTCTCACCAAGTGTGCAAGATGAACCAGGTCACTTTTCACATCTCTGATTTCTGCAGATGTTGATTATCAAGCAAGCAACACATATCGGGATTTCCTGTTTTATGCAAGGTAAAATATCAAAGGTCCAGGAGCCCTGTTCTGTCTTCTGACTACCTGTTGTATCAAGTAAGAACTGCTGGATAGCTCAGTGGTTTAGGTATCTGGCTGTGGAGCCAGAGGGTAGGAGTTCAATTCCCCACTGGGCCTCCTTGATCAGGGTCTGGACTTGGTGATCCAGAAGGGTCCCTTCCAGCTCAGCAATTCTGAGAGGGTGATGATGATTCTTCTAATCCTAGGTCAGTGAAATCA